TAAAGTGGGTGACTGCACGATGGTTATATAAGAGAATTTCTCTATTATTTTTTTTTCTAATTTACACATAATATTTGTGCATCTTTATGGTATATGTATAATAATTTGATACATATATAGATGTATAATAATCAAATCAGGATAGTTAGCAATTCTATCTCGTCAAACACTTATTGTTTCCATGTGTTGGGAAACTTGGGGGCTCTGTAATTATAAAATAGGTCATAAATTGTTGTAGACTGCAGTTACCCTACTGTGCTATAGAACACCAGAATTCATTCCTCTCACCCGAATGTATTCTAGGAACTGTTGTCTAACTTCTCTCCTTCCTCTCCGCCCCCCTCACTCTTCTCAGTTCCCATTGGTCACTTTTCTACTCTCTTCTTCTATAAGATTGATTTTTTTAGCTCCCCAAAATGAGTGAAAACCTGCAGCATTTGTCTTTTTTCACCCAGCTTATTTCACTTAACACGAGGTCCTCCAGTTCCCTCCAGGTTGCCACACTCTTAAGAAATACACACAGAGAAAGAGAAACACAGGATAAAGCAAATAAGGTAAATTATTTACAATAGACAGATCATACGAGTATCTTTGTACATCTCTTATTCTTGCAACTTTTCTTATGGTTGAAATTAAAATTGGGGGGAAAAACAGTTTAAAAAGTCGTGTAAGTTTTTCATAATGGCACCTCTTTCCATTCTCAACAGAGAGGCAGTTTGGTGTTTCAATTAAAAATGTAGCTTTGGGCATCAGAATACCTGAGTTTGAAGCCAAGCTCTTCATACCTCAGTTTCCTCATCTGTCAAAATGGCCATGATTATAATAAGAACATCCTCCTTTTGTTCATGATAAATGAGTGAGTCCCACATGGAAGTTCTGGGAGGAGAAACAGAGCTGGGGTCAGCTGGGGTCAGCTCTCAGGAAGTGGGATTTTACCATGTTTTAGAGGAAAGAGCTCCACCATGGAGAGTAAGGTAAATTCAGAGCAGAGGCGATTCTAACAATGACAGACTGACTGCACATGATGGTGCACACCTGTAATCCCAGCAACTGAGCAGCCTGAGACAGGAGCATCGAAAGTGTGAGGCCATTCTTGTCAACCTAGCAAGACCCTATCTCAAAACAAAAAATACAAAAGGCTGGGATGTGGCTCAGTAGTAAATCACCATGGATTCAATCCCCAAACCTATTTTAAAAAAACCCACAGGAGGTAAACTTTCCTAGAAGTTAGCAAGATTAATAAACTATCATAAATAAAATGGCATGACCTTATTCAAATTTAGACAGGTATAAAAAGTGTCACAGAATGCAAAGCCCACAAACAGTTCAAACTTCTGTTAATTGGATAGAATAGAGGAAACATCCCAAAGCAGGAGAGAAAGGACAAATTATTAAGCAAGTGATATTAGGACAATTCTCGTTTCATGTACAAAAATCAATCTTAGATCTTTAAGCCATTTACAAAAATACATTTCAAATAAATGAAAGACCTAATCATAAAAAAAGAAATCATTTTAAGGTAAAAAAAAATATGTTTTAAAATGTTTTTTAGACAAGAGAGAAAAGGTAAACACACAAAAAAGGAAAGAACATTATCAGAGGACTGTGACTCCATTTCTAATATTCTGTTTCTTCCATGGTTGATTTAGCTACTTACCTTTAAATACATATGTCTTTTAAAACCCACAAAATTTTGATATTTATTAATTCAGGGTGTTGGCTTTATAAATGTTTGCTACATTAAGCTCTGTATTTTTWAAAAAAATTGTTTTGGAATATTAAACAAATTGTTTCAAAAACTCTAGCTACCCTGGGAGGAAAAAATAGTGTGCCTGAGTCCTCAAGCCCAGCTTACACCTGTAACCTTGGTATCTCAGGGTAACTGGATAGAGATTGCCCCCATGTACCCTCAAGCCTCCCAAGTACAGTTCACATCTACTTGGGTGACTTTGCAGTTCTTACTAGATACTCCACTAGGTATCTAGTAAGATTAAGGTAAAACCCAAATTTTTCTTAACTTGCTTTCAACAGACTTTTATTTTTTTTCTTTGTCAATATAAATTTATTTATTGGAAATTTGGAATACATAGATCATTATGAAAAATTTCAACACAGGGAAATTAAAATATGCCCCTTAATCTTACTTCCCGAAGAGAGTAAAGACTACTGGTAAACCACATGCTGTGTTTTCTCTAGGTAAGCAAACCCGTAAAACTTAACTACACCCACATAACTCTAGCTCTGTAATTACCACTGTGTCGCTCTTGTGTCTTTCATCTAATCATATTGGACACTGCAACATTAGAGGACTATTGATTTAGCCAGATTCCCACTGATGGCCAGTCATTTTTGGTTTTCACTATGGTTTCAGTCTACAACTACAGTCTACAAGTCCTAAATAACACCCAATAGAATATTTTGGGAACTTTTATCTTTTTCATTACAAAAAAAAAAAAAAAAACTCTTCAAATGGAATTCCTAGGTAAAAGGTTGTGATCAGCTTCCTTTTTGCAACATATGGTCAAAAAGCCTTCCCGTAAAGACCAGCTCAAATTAGTCGCCTAATATCCAGTAGTGTCACCACATGCAAGGCACTGTGCTGAGTGCTTTGAATGTGGTAACGAATTTAATTCTCTCAACAGCCCTATAAGAGAATAGGTAAGATCATTATCCCCAATTTTCAGATGAGAAAACTGAGCAGAGAGAGGATGAAAAACTTGCCTGATTTCTCTGAAGCCTGTCATATAGCAAGCAGAGCAAGTCTTGAGACTCGGGAAGTTCAGAACTAGCCTGTACTCCTGACCACTATCTCTCTCTACTCTGAAGGACCAGCAAGCAGAGATGCCTTGGACAAGACATTCAAACCCCATCCTTGAAACACAAGTAACAGTGGTACCTTTACAGAGAGGTGTCATGGGGACCAGATGATAAAATATAAATTTAGCAGAGTACTAGGCACATCAGAAACACTAGAAAATCTTAGATGTTGTGCTATTATTTTTTTAATTTGAGCATTTTAAAAGTTTATTGCCTGTAGTTCTTCAAGGAATTGCCTGTTTATAAAATTTGCACAGTTTTGAGTTTCTTAAATTCAAATTCCCTTCCTCCCCACACGACAGACTGGTTTGTCTATCTTCCTAGGTCAAAGAGCACTTAAAACTTCTGTTACCTTCTGTCACTTCACCGGAGCAGCCAAGCTCTGAGTCTGCTCCTCTGCACACCTTTAATTTCTGCTTTCTGGTTCCTGTCATCCTGCCGTTGCCGCTGTCAGGGACCTGAGAGATGTCTATCTGACATCCTAACTCCCAGAAGCCAACGTCTTTGTTATCCCTGCTTAGTTCAGGCTTCAGATGGAGTCCCCTGCCCTGGGAATAATTTTGTCCATGTCCAGGATGCATGCTACTGCCAGCAGATGGAAGTTTATATCTGGAGACAGCTTGCTTGCCTTTGAATGTTGTTCAATCCAAGTTCTGGGAAAGTTGATCTTTGTGTATGTCTGCTGCCTTTTAAAGAAATAATTGTTGATCTCAAAGGGGATTTTGCAAAGTAGCGTGTATCTCTGTGTCTCTGTTTATCTCCATCTATAAATGTTTTGAACCATCTCACTGAAATTCTGTCTCCACATCTCTGTGTTTCTTCCTTTCTGTCTACTTCTTTGATTTTATCTCTCTCACTTTCTATCTCACCCTACTTTTCTGTTAGCCTCTGCCTCTCCCCCTTCTTCCTTCTTTCAATGCACTGCATGGCAGGTGATTTTTAAAGACAAAGATAGTTCTGAATAACAGGTCCACTCTACTGCCTAATAATGATAGGGAATAGACAGATGCTCGTGGTGGGAACATGAGGTTAAGGGAATAATTCTACAAAATGGACCCGCTGTGCTGAACCCCACATGCCTTCTTTTCTAAGAAACAACTTACCAGCAGCCCTACCTAGCTTAAGTGGACAGGATATGTCACATTCCTCAGCAAACTACCTATTATCTGCAGAAGAAATGAAGATCCAAAATAATGTTGATAAGAAAAGCACAAGTTACCATATAGGCAGAGACTTTTGTGATCCTTTTCACAGACCAGATCCCAAAATTCGAAGAGATAAAGATAATTCCTCCTAGTCATAAAATATGTAAGAATTTAGGATTAAGAATCCAGTTAAAACTGGTCAGCAGAACCTGGGCCAAAGTGACCTAGAGTTGCTATGGCAGTGGAGACTTGAAAGTCTGATGTCATCCTGCTGCTAGTCAAAAGCCAAGAGGTGAACCTGGGTGGAACTGTCAGGAGACTTCTCTGGGATTCCCAATAAAACTGGTGTGCAGAAGAGCACTGTCCCACTCACCATCTCCCTTGAGAGTATCCCCTTTGCCCTTTTCCCATCCCTTCTAATAAGTTCATTGCCTATGACTCTAAGCAACATGTCTGAAATATTTCTGACTTCATCTCAAGAACAGGGGTTTGAAGGGTGGCCTTTGTGCTGCCTCAGTTTCCAAAAGGCCCAGATGTACGACCATAACACGATTCCCCCGCCAACCTACAGCAGCGTCCCCCTCTGTATGTTTTCTCTTTCTATGAAATCATCTTGACTGGGACTCATTCAAATTTAACATGATTGTCTGACAATCCCGAAAAGTAAACATTATTATTTCCCATTTCATTAGTGCAGAGACTAATAGTAGCAGAGTCTCAGAAGTCTCTTCTAGTTGGTCAACGGTGGAGTCACAGTTGAAACTGATTTTTCTAGATCCCAAGTCTGAAGCTCCTTCTGCCACATGACCTTTCCTTCTCCCTTAGCCCAGGAACTTTTGTAAGTTACAACTGAAAAGAAATAACACAGGGGACTGCTCCCTGCCGGGTCCGTCAGAAAACCCCTCTGTCCAGAGGGACACAGCCCTGGGTTAGGGATGGAGTCCTGATGGGCCGAGGGTCCCAGTTTCCTGTTCACTCACCACCTGCCCCCCAGCCAGAGAAGAACAATATCTRCTCCCTTTAACGCTCTCCACTTACCCAGAAGGAAAAGGAAGGCTGTCAGCATGCTGACCCCCGAACTCATGCTGGCGCTCTGCTCCGGGCTCCTAGCAGGTCAGGCACAGGGAGCTGTGTGACCTGAGGCTCCAGGGGCAGGAGCCACGTCCCACGTGACTGACAAGGAAGGAAGCCACAGCCACAGCCGGGAGGCGGGTCAGTTCCTCTCAGCCTCCTCTGAAGGCAGCGGTTAGGGAAGCCCCTATCACCAGCCTCTGCCGAGCAGTGGAAGGGAGTGGGCATGTGATGAGAACTGCATTCGACAGTCTTCTGGGTCCTGCAGCCTCTGTGATCCACTGCCCACAGAGCCAGGGAACTGCACCATGGTTGAGTGCAGTTTCTTGCCCAGAGACACAGGCCAGTCAGTCTCCGAGGAGAACGTAGGCAAAGCTGGTCTGCCCTGGAGCCCAGCCCTTGAGGGTACCACCCCTGCCTTGGGGCAAGGACAGAAATCCCTGCCCCCAGTCCACCACTGAATGCTGGGATGGCCCAGCACTGTTTTTGTGCCATGACCTCACTGAATGGGGGGGGGGCACTGCTCTCTTCTCAGAGTAACTGTTGTAAATGCCCAAACTGAAGTAAATTGGCATTCTGAAAGACGTCAGAAGCACTGAAATATAGTCATGAAAAAATATCCAGGGGTATGCTTCCACTGAACTAATCCTCAGCCCCCAACTTCTTAAAATTTTTTAGACATGTTCTCCAGAAATTACCAAGGGGAGCCTCAAACTTGTGATCCTCTTGCCTCAGCCTCCTGAGTCACTGGGATTGCAGGTGTGTGCTACCATGCCCAGCTGAATACATTCTTAAAAAATAAACTTGTGATGTAGTGGTACATATGCTTCTTCATCCACATAGCAAATAGCAAGACCTAGTGGCTGATGAAATGACAGCCACCACCTCAATATGGTGATACATGTGAATATTTAGAGACAGCTGTAAAAGCTGGAATGTGGAGGAAAATACCCGTGATTCCTACTCTTAATAAAGTCACCCTTGTGGTAATGTCATTGAGCTGCAATCAGACCAGGCCCAGGGCCTCCAAATGCACGAAGTGATTCCATTCTTTTGTAAAACCACTCACTTTTCAATGTCTACAACTAATTTTCAAATGTTTTCTCCTGGGTGAGTGAACACCAACAGCATGAACTTATGCACACCCCTCAAAACTTCCTCCTCTAAGGGTTCAACCTGTTGTCTGTATAACCAGGAAAGGAAGAGCCTGCAGCAACTTCTGCTTTATAACCTGCCACAACCTTCTAAGTCCAGAAAATACATTTTGTTGCCTGCTTAAATGGAGCAGAGGGAATACAGAGACTTAAGATACCCCCTAAGGTAGACTCTCACAAGATGACCTGGTACCTGGCAGTCACACCTGAGAGTGATTTGTCTTCATGGTGTGGCATGATAACCCCAGCACCAATGGGTACCTACCCCATGCTTCTGTAAGGAATGCTGACTTCTTACCTTTAGGATGCTTCTGTCACCGGAATTAAAATGACTCCCACTGGATAGGGACYCTGAGGGCCAGGGCCAGAGCACCTTTACCAGAGCCTGACTCAATCCAGGTCCCAGGAGTGTATTCACTTCCTGAGGTCATACCCACACCCAGCCAGCCCAGCCTGACACCCACAGGCAGGAATGCCATGGGGCTTACTTGTGACTGAGGAGATCATCTGTACTGCCAATCAGCAGAGAATGAGCCCTGCTCCAGCAGCTCTGATACTCTGCTCTGCCAGCAGGACACTGTGCCCAACTCTAGCACTGTCCTCTTGGGGAGTACTCTCTCTTCCCTCAGCACCAAGCACAGAACCTCTGGATTGATACCTCATGTAGATGCCATTAGTGCAAGGCAAGAGGAGCCATTAAACCACAACCATTATGGGAGATTAAATTTAAGAGAGAGAAGATTTGACACACAATTGATTTATTGTACTTACAAAAAAACTCTGCGCATAGCAATTAAAAATTAGCCATTCTTCTGAAGCATGCATGCAACACTTACTCCCCATCTCAAAAATCAAAAATGCCAAAGATTGGGCTTTGATATAAGTCAAAATTTCAAAGAATATGTGACATACAGAACACATTTTCTTACCACAATGCAACTGTATCAGATGACAGTGAAAAAAAGGCATGGCTAAATTTCCATAGATTTGGAAATTTACAAACATTTCTAAGTAATTCCTAGGTCAAAAAAAAAAAACTTACGATGAAAATTAAAAATAACCAGAATTGAATCATAATGAAAATGTTACATATTTTGTAGAATACCAGAAAAGTAATTATTAGAAGGAAATGGGCAGGTGTAAATACTCTAAAGAAAGACTAAAAAGGAAACAAGCTAAGCAGCCAGTTTCAAAAGTTTGAAATAGAATAAACCCACACACAAAAAGGGTAAAAAAAAAAGAAAGAGAAATAAAGTAGAAAAAATATGAGAACAAAAATGAATGAAACAGAAAACAAATATACAATAAGAAGGATCAATGAATCTTCAAAATTTCTCTTTAAAAACAACCTATAATATGACAAACTTCTTACAAAATGGGTTAAGAAAAAGAGAAGACAAAAATATGTAGTATCAAGAATAAAGAGTGTGGCTGGGGAAATAGCTCAGTGGAGCTCTCGTCTAGTATGTGCAAGGATCTGGGTTCAATGACTAGCATCAAAAAAACAGAAAGAAATAAAAACAGCACACTACAGGAACACAGCCACATCAATGTTTTTACCAGCACAATTCACAGTAGCTAAATTATGGATCCAACCTAAATACCCTCCAGTAGATGAATGGATAAAGAAAATGTGGTACATATACAGAATGGAATATTACTCAATATTAAAAGAAAATAAAATCATGGCATTTGCGGTAAGTGAATAAAGTTAGAGAATACAATGCTAAGTGAAATAAGCCAATCCCCCCCCCAAAAACCAAATGACAAATGTCTTCTCTGATCTAAGAATGATGATTCATAATGGGGATGGGGGTGAAGCATAGGAGGAATAGACAAACTTTAGACAGGGCAAAGGAGAGGGAGGAGAAGTGAGGGGCATGGGAGTAGGAAAGATGGTGGAATGAGATGGACATCATTACCCTAAGTGCCTATACGAAGGCATGAATGGTGTGACTCTACTTTGTGTTCAACCAGAGACTTGAAAAATTGTGCTCTATTTGTGTGCTATAAATTGAATTGCATTCTGCTGTCATATAAAACTCATTAGAATAAATAAAATGTAAAACTTTAAGAAAAAAAAAAACAGAAAGAAGGGAAGGAAGGAAGGAAGGAAGGAAGGAAGGAAGGAAGGAAAAGGGGAACATGAGTAGAGAAAAGGTTACTAATGCAATAATAACTACATTAAAAACCTTGGGCCATACTATCATTTATAACTAAAATGAACAAATAAAAAAAAACTTGGGCCAATAAATTAGAAAACTTTGAGGAAGTTCACACAATCTCAGGAAAATAGAGCTTCCTGAAACAGACTTAAGAAAAACAGAAAGCTGGAAGAGTCCTAACACCTTTCGAAATCTGAATCAAAGAGTTAAAAATCTTGTCACAAAGAACACACCAGACCAAGCCGCTTTACAACATTGTATGAAAATATTAGAATTTTTAAGTAGAAAATTCTAAAATTAACAAACTAGTTTGCATCACGGGAAAATAAAAATAAATATTTCCTGACTTATACTGAGGCCAGCCTAAACTTGTTACCAAAATCAGACAAAAAAAAAAAAAAAAAGAGAAGTACAGCTCAACCTCACTTAGGAACTAGAAGACAGAAAATCTAAAAAACTTAGCAAGTCAAATTCAATGTGGTGTGTGTGTGTGTGTGTGTGTGTGTGTGTACATATATATTCTTTAGAAAAAATGTAGAAAATATTTATAATATTTACATTCTTGAGACTATACATAGAATACATATTATATATGTTCTTTACACGTATATATAAAGAATAAATTTTCATAGTAATATCAGTTATCACCTTAATTAAAATAGAAAAACATTATCTCAAAAGATAATAAAAGCATCTGATAAATTCATCACCCATTTAGAACATTAACTCCTAATAAATTAGGAAGGGTTCAAAACTTCTCAAATCTSATATAAAGGCTTTTTATCAAAAATACTGACAGCAAAGATCATTATTATGGTAAACTACATAGATACAATCTCTTTAAAATTAAGAAAAAGCAAGGTGTTTTATCTCATTATTTCTATTCAATATTGTCTAGAGTCCTAGCTAGTGTATATTTTTTCTTTAAAAAAAAGAAAAATATTTACCATACATATATCAGATAGAGCACTAATCTCCAGGATGTATAAAAAAACTCAAAACCCAACACCAAAAACAAATAATCCAATCAAAAATTGAGCTAAGAAAGTGAATATACACTTCACAGAAGAAGAAATATAATTGATCAACAAACATATGAAAAAATGTTCATCATCTCTACAATTAGAGAAATGCAAATCAAAACTACTCTAAAATTTCATCTCACTACAGTCAGAATGGCAATTGTCAATAATACAAGCAATAATAATCCTTGTTGGTAAGGATGTCGGGGAAAAGGTACACTCGTACATCCCTGGTAGGACTGCATATTTGTGCAACCACTCTGAAAAGCAGTATGGAGATTCCTCAGAAAATCTGGAATGGAACCACCATTTGAGCCAGCTATCCCACTCCTCAGTGTATATCCAAAGGATTTAAAATCAGTATACTACAGTGACACAGCCACATCAATGTTTACAGCAGTTCAATTCACAATAGCTAACCTATGGAACCAACCTAGATGCCCTTTAACAGATGAATGGATAAAGAAAATGTGATACAATATACACAATGGAATATTACTCAGCCTCAAAGAAGAATGAAATTATGGCATTTGCAGGTCAATGGAAGGAACTAAAGACTATCATCCTAGTGAAAAAGGCCAATCCCCCAAAACCAAAGGCCAAATGTTTTCTCTGATAAGTGGATGCTGATCTATAATGGTGATGGGGGGTAGGAAAGAATGAAGGAACTTTGGACT